GAGCCACTAAAATAATTATTAAAGGCATTTCTTCAGATCATTCATAGTAAAATAAATCCATATTTCAATGCCTATATATTCTTCTATTGTGAAGTACCAAAATTTAATCATCTAGCTAGGAATATTTAAATAGCTTCGACCATTTTCCAGTACTCTTTCCAGAAAGAATATACACATATCAACCACAGATGCACATGTCTGTTTTCATTTGATCTTTGTTCTTAATATCAAGGCTTAAATTTTTACTTAATGGCTAAAAGAATTTAGCAATTTACGGTTGATACAGTTTCTGTAAGAAGTGTGTGTGCGTGTGTGTGCCTGTGCACACATACGAGACATAGAAAAATTGCTACCCCTAAAGTAATTATTTTACTCAGACATGACATTTCACAGGTCTAAAAATAAAAAAAAAAATTATATAAGCAAAATTCTATTTGATCACAAATTTGGATGCTAAATCAAACTTACTGCACTATCTTAGTTTAAAGAAGATTTATCACTCCATCCAAGCGTACTTCAAGTTCATGAACCATTTCTTTTTGTAACATCTCTTTAAAGGTCTTATACTATATAAGCAAGTATTCGCTTTCAAAATAACCTTAAAACAGAATCTATCTGCTTTAAGATTTGATAAATGAATTTGGTTATAGTCTTATCTATATGTTTTATTTTAATAATTAAAAAATTCACCTGTTCTTCTTACTTCTATATAAAGGAAAAAGTTCTAAGTATTTTTAAGATTTATATGCTCTTAAATTTTTGACAGTGAAGCCTCTAACTTAAAAGCAATTGAACTTCAATTATTTGGTGGGGGATGATAATTCAAAACTGTTTTTAGGTTAGTAAAATGATATTAATGAGAAAAGGAAAAAGAATTCTATATTAAACTGAGAATAACACAAGAAGAATGAAAAGACTTCTTACTTTAGGTGGAAGCTAGTCATCCACTTGTATTTTAGAAGGAATGAAAACATGTTAAGTAGTTTAAAGTAGTTAAACACTATAAATAATCAAATGTTATCAGTAGAGGACAGGTTAATCATGAAAGAAAGAGAAAAAGACATGAAACCAAGAAAGTTATGCAGCAGTTAGAAAAAAACAATGAAGTACTAAGATGTGTAGCTCTGGCAGGAAAAAAAAAAAAATTAAGAGGGTAGGTGATATTTGTTAAGAATTTGCATTATAGGGCCAGGCACAGTGGCTCATGCTGTCATCCCAGCACTCTGGGAAGCTCAGGTGAGTGTATTTCTTAAACTCATGAGTTTAAGATCAGCCTGAGCAAGAGTGAGACCCCATCTCTAAAAACAGCTGGGGGTTATAGTGGGAGCCTGTATTTCCAGCTACTTAGGAGGCTGAGGCAAGAGGATCATTTGAGCCCAAGAATTTGAGGTTGCTGTGAGCTATGACGTCACAGCACTATACCGGGCACAAGAAAAGTGAGCCTTTATCTAAAAAAAAAATAAAAAGAAAAAGAAAAAAAGAAAAGAATCTGTATTATAATGAATGCTGAAAGTATCTGTGTATTTGTGAAAAAAAATAAAGATCATTTCTAGAAGTATATACAATAAACTGTAGCCCAGAGTACTGGGACTTGGGAGCAAAACAAACATGAAGAAAACTTTACATGGTGCAATTTACTGTATTGTTTCAACATTTCACCTTAGGGAGAAAATTTTGAGGGGGAAAATCTAACAAAAGAAGATTATAAGAACTTTAAGGGGGAAAATATAATACTAATTTAATAATTGTGAACTATGATTTGTTAATAATCTTATTAGCTGAATTTTTAAACAGTATAGAAAAAACTGGCTAATTTGGGTTTATGGTTATCTGGAGAAAAACGCTAAGCTTCAAGCAACTTTAGCTATATAGCTAAAGATTATTGTAGCATGTATTTGGAGCAATTGCTTCAAAACCTTTTTTATCTTAGTCTTTTAAGCTGTTTTTTGGGAAGGGAACTTGCTTTAAAAATTATTGACTAAACCCTCAATTCTTTCTCCTCCACTTTACTTGATTAGAATTAGGCAGTTCCAATTCAGTGTCTTCTGTCACAACCCAGTAGATTATAGAATCTGTTTCTGTGTGTATCAAGTCTGGTCATAATTTTCTTTTTTTTATTTCAATTCCCACTGATAGAAAGTACAGTTTGGTCCACCTGGGGCCAAAGTTTATTTTCATGGCTTAATTTTTTTGCCTAAAACTCCCAGAGCACTGGGGTGCACTGTTGGGAAGTGGGCTGCTGTGGTCACACAAACACATGTCTTTCAATTCTTTTCACAAGTTTCCTTTAAGAATGGATGAAATGCATATTTAGTAATGTGAATGTGACAAATATCTTTTATGACCAGAAGTAAACTTTTGGAATCAAGGTTTTTAGGTAACTAACCTTCAATAGTCACCTCAACTTCAGGGTCCTCACTTGTTTCTGAAGGGACATGTTGAGTAGAATCTTGAAAAAAATAAAATTCTAAAATGACATTCATTATTAAGCATTTTCCATATGTTCCAACATTTAACTGATTTGATACTCCAAAAGCAGCCTACTATAAAATTTAATTGGCATTTTAATTCATTTATTTATAAAATATTTCATCCCTTTAATTATAAATAGGGATAAAAGAAAACAAAAAGTAGAAAAGCTCTGGAAAACTATTAGATAATACAAAGTTACCTGCATTAATGGACTCAAAAACCTCGTATTCTTAAAAGAACGAGATTACAACAAAATCACAATTATTCCCTGCTATAATTGAAAAAAAGCTAGAATAGTAAGAAATGTTTTCTACTTTGGTTAGTATTTCTCTTTTTATCATTCTGAGGAGTGGTTCATAGTGTTAAAACCGCAATATTTTGCAATGGAGACCTTCATATCAAAAGAAGATGTGCTCTAACTTTATATGCAATATACTCTTAAAAATTAAGGATTTCACTAATATTTTTGTTACTACACAAATGTACTAGGAATGTTAGTGCTAGAAGCTTAGCTAGAGAGTATTTTCATTAGCTCTCTTTCATTTTGCAAAGGGTAAGAGATTAATTGATTCGTTCAAGATTATTTTTTCTTGTTAGTAAAGAAATAAAGATTAAGAGCCCAGATTCAATTCAACTCTGTTAATGTTGCTACAATGAAAATGTCCTCAAAACAAAGTCTTTCAAGGCCCAAAATCTAATAAACTGGTGAAGCAATCTGTACTGTCTAATAAGCCCTGGTACGATCAGTATCTTATATTGTATATATGTATTCTGCTGTTACAAATACCACCTATTCAACACTGAAAATTTTGTCTCACAGAAAACATCTTAATTACCTCCACACAGAAAAAAAATTCACCTCCACAATCTTCTATAAAAACACCTGACAATGAAATTAACAAACTATTTAAAATGACCCTATCAGTATTTCTGAGAGAAATATATTCCAGTTAGAGACCTTAATTATGTAACTGAATTTGGAATGATTAGCCTACATTTCAGGGACCTTATGATAACCTTTCACTCAAAGAAGGTAAAAGATCAAATTAAAGGTTTTTGAAAATAAAAAAAGCAAATACATAAAACATGGAACAGTTATACAGACTCCTTTTTCATTTAAAAAAAGAAAAATAAGGCACAACATGACCAGTTTATGAGAGAAGTAATTCCAGAACAAGATTCAGTCACCTTACCAGTCATTTTCCTTAGGAGGAATCTACAAAAATTCTTGTGAAACTAGTTAAACTGCTTAGAAGCAGGAAGCCATCTTATATGGTAACAGTTTAACTCAAGATTCTAGTAACTCCAAGAGTTGCACCACAGTTCAATCCCACAATCAAAGCTGCAGCGGTAGTAAACAGGCTTAAGTAGTTCATGGAATAGATGTAGGTATATAAATAAGAGTGAAAATATCTCCGTATCTAGAATATACTGTTATCCTACTAAAAATAAGAAGTATTACATAGTACATTTAAAAATAAAGTATGAATGGAGATAGTAGTAACTTTAGTTCCAAATACTGAAGCTATTCTTCCTTAAAGTTTTTAATGTGGCACAAAAAAATACAGAGAAAACTCTGACAGTGTTTGGGATCACGACGAGCTTTACTTACCATAGTTTTCATCCCCATTTGCTTTACTAACCAGTACCGTGAAAAGAAAAATATTACATCTTAGAACTTAAAAAAAAAAAAAAAAATTGTTGGCTAAAAAGGCATACTAAAAACAATCATCTTTTATTTCCAAATCAGATGCCTTAAGGATACTATAAAATATGACAAACACAAAACAAACAATAAAATTAAAAAACCCTTATTTTCCTAACCTTCTGTTGGTACTTCCATTTCTGTTCCTTCATTGCCCTCTGAAGAATGATGACTCCCTAAAGAGAAAATAAACAACATATAATAAACCAATAAAAACAGATACGGAAAGAAGAGAAACTAGGTAACAATGCAAACAATTTAAGACATAATAATTACGTACAAAATGATTCTTAACTCTTTAGTAATTAATTTAAATGTTTTTATTTCAGAAAAATGTTACACTTCTATTTGGAAGCTAAAGAAATTTTTAAAAAAATACAAATATACAATGTAAACCTAATTAGGTTTGGGGATTTAACATTAGTTTCTGAAACTATGTGATATAATTACTGATGGACATTGGACTCTGAGAAAGTACAATTATGTTTCAAGTACCATGCTCATCTGTCAATGACTCACACACAAAAAAACAAATCAGAGTAAATTCTTGCTTTGCTCACAGACTTAACTATATAAACAAGTTCAGGGTTTGCTGTAGAATGTTTCCTGCTTTCCGTTTTCACTATGAAAGCCATGGAAACTCAATCCCCAAAATTTAATCAAAGTTGTACTTAAAGGAAACTCATAAGTTAAAATTTAAGATACTACCTTTAGTCTCAAAAGCATTTTAATTCAGGTAATATAATCTGCCTGCTTCTAAAAACTGGAACATAAAGCAATGTATCAGGTTAGGCAGTCACAAGGTAAACAGGCTCATCCTACTAGAGCAGCAGTTTTATTCACAAATAGGAAAAAAATAACCTAACACATCAGAGAGCCACTTAGGATAAGTGCCCAAGCTGCCCCTTAATATGCAACCTCTGTCCTCAAATATCTAAGCTTATGAACATGGAAAAGAATAAAAAACACTACCTTCAAGTACAAATAAAAGTAGGTTTATTTCCTATCAGTAAGAATAAATCGTGTAGGGGAAGAGAAGCAGACTCTTATCTATTTTGTCCTACTGATAACTTAATTTTAAGTTATAGACATATCTTATTTTCTTTTTTAAAGAGTAATGGTTATAGTCTCAAAAACTATCGATCAGTCTAGCACCCTTGAATTAAAAGTACCACTCTAAGATAAAATATTTTTGGTTTTCAAGGTCTAGCTTTATCATGTCATAATTATCTTGGAATTCTTGTCCACTTATTTTATATTGCAAAAACTCACCTGAGCTCAAGAATCTATATAAATTTATAAATCTATAACCATGGATCACTCTTTAATAACTTTTAAAATATGCTTTCTTTATACATACTACCTTTCTCCTTTTTTTTAACCTTAATACTTAAATTTATGAAGCATTAAGTTCTTTGACTTAAAGTCAAAGAAAAGAGAGGTGAGGTCAAAGGAAGGAAAGGTAATGGAGAAGAGGCCAATAGTTAAAAAGTAAAGTTTGGGTAAAGAATAAGAACAGTTAAGATGATTAATTATGTAAACAACAATTCTATGTGTCTTTTTTGTTCTTTTAAAATCTGAAGCAAACAATTATATTTATATTATAAAGTAAACCTGAAGAAAATAAATCTTGTATGCGCGAAGCCAGAATACACAGAAGAAAAACCCATCACTAAAAGCCTATGATCAGTACACAAAAATTCCGAAAAGGGTAACTAATTCATAAAACTAGGGATTTACAAGTAGTACTTCAGAATCCTTCTAAAAACTTAGTAAAACATGACCTTATCAATATTTACATTACTAACTATACAATAATCTTACTTCTGACTATTCTGATATAAGGTATAAATGTGTACTTTACCTTAAATATGAAAGTGTGTCATGTACCCATTTCGAGATTCATTACTAGATTCACAAAAGGGAAAATTGATTTTGAAAAATTGTTGCTTGTGAAGTTCATTTATATGCTATAAAAAAGGCCAATACATTTCTTTTTCCTTTTCATTTAGAAAAGTAATAATAAAGTTATAAATATTAAAATACAATCTGTCCAATATAAGGAAACACTTAAAATGATCAGTATGTGGGAAAATGGAAGTGAAAAGGTAATACCTTGCAAAGACTTCGAAAGGGGAAGTTTTTCATCAACATCATCACTTTCAGAAGGGCCTGCTTTGGAATACAAAAATAAAACTTCAAAAGTAATCCCAAAAATATATTTTGGGTCACTTTAGAGAACAAATTTGGGTGAGATTAAAAAAAAGCAAAATGGAAAAAAAAAAAAAGACAAAACAAGTGGTGTCAATTTATGGTCTTAGTGAGTGGAAAAGGTGTCATCAGGTAAATTTATATATATAAACAGGGAAAAGAAATTTTGAAATGACTGGACATATGGAATGAATGGAAATGACATGTCTAAAATAGTGGATATGGTTTTTTAAAAGAGTAAAATGTTCCTAACAGTAAACCACAACTTTTACTTCATACAGATTATAAATTTACATTTATTTTATAAGCATATTTGTTTGTCCCATGCCAGATATTTGCTTAATCTTTTCTAACACTGAAGAAAAAAAACATAGAGCCAAATTGTTAAACATTCCTTAGAAAAAATTACGTAAACTATCAGTAAGCTTGAATCTCCACTGAAATAGAAACATGACAAACTAACAGCCATTAATTCAGTTTCCCCTTTCATACAAAACCCTAAGTACTTATAGTAAGTTAATAAAGTTCTTTCCAATTATTAACATAGAAAGTACTCTGGGTTAAATTAACCTTCACAAAATGCTATAAAGATTTGGATGACACATTTATATGTATCATCAATCATTTTAATGATTAAACTAATAGATTTAAAACAGAAAACAAAACCTTGCAAAGACTTCAAAAGGAAGAGTTTTTCATTGTTTTCAATGGCTACTTAACATAAAACATGTTTCTATGTTATTATAAACACAAACCAATTCACTATCACTGAATTTTAATTTGAAAAACATTCTAAGTTGTTTGAAAGGCTTCTCTAATGCATAAAAAAATTTCACAAAGATGCACCAAACTGCATATTACATGCAAAGGACATGTCACAGAAGAAAACAACTGCATGAAAAATACAGAAATGTGTATTGCACAGTGGTTATGGCACCAGACACATGCACTGAGGCTGGTGGGTTCGAACCTGGCCTGGGCCTGCTGAACAACAATGACAAGTGCAACAAAAAATAGCTAGGCGTTGTGGTGGGCACCTGTAGGCCCCGCCACTTGGGAGGCTGCAGCAAGAGAATGGCTTAAGCCCAAGAGTCTGAGGTTGCTGTGAGCTCTGATGCCAAAGCACACTACCCAGGGCAACAAAGTGAGACTCTGTCTCAAAAAAAAGGGAAGAAATTATTTGTATTTGGAATCATAACTAAGAGAAAGATTTTGAATATAAACATCAGATCCACTATTTCTTAGTCATGTGGACCCTCAGTAAAATTCACAGAATTCATGACAAGAAAGACTTATAAAGGCTGGGCACAGTGGCTCACACCTGTCATCCGAGCACTCTGGGAGGCTGAGGCGGGTGGACTGCCTGAGCTCACAGGTTTGAGACCAGCCCAAGCCAGAGCAAGACCTTATCTCTTAAAAAAGCCAGGCCTTGTTGCTGGTGCCTGTAGTTCCAGCAACTCTGGAGGCTGAAGCACAAGAATCACTTGAGCCTAAGAGTTTGAGTTTGTTGTGAGCTTTGACGCCACAGCACTCTACTGAGGGTGAATAAGTGAGACTCTATGTCAAACAAGCAAACAAACAAAAACAAAGGTGGTGCCTGTGGCTCAAAGGAGTAGGGCACTGGCCCCATATACTGGAGGTGGTGGGTTCAAACCTAGCCCAAGCCAGGAAGGGAAAAGAAAGAAAGACTTATAATTTACATGTTTTAAAAGTAAAAAATTAGCTAAGGCTATAAATTGACTTCTAAGTAGTGCTTTAGCAATTTTCACAAGTTTAGCCACTGGCATTCTCTATATTCTGTTATCCTTACATTTAATGAGGTCTTCTTTAAGTTAATCATAAGGATGTTTCTTAGGATTCTGACTATATAGGTTTTCTACTTTAACTCTTTTATTATGGATTTCAATTTTAATTACATTATATTCAAAGAATATGCTAAGACTACCTGTGAACTAGTAGTCATTTTTGTAAATGATCCATCCTTTGTAAAAAAAAACATTTTCTGGGTGTAGCATTCACTATATACATTAGCTTATGTTTGTTAGCTGTAGAGCTGAAACATCCTATTTAATATTTTTAAGTATTCATTAGTGCGATGTATTAGTTACTATCAGTGGTTATAATCTCGCAAATGATTATACATTTCTATAAATACATAGACTCTAAATTTAGCATAATTTTTTAATTCTTTATTTCTACTTTTATTTTGAGGATACATTCTTTTTTCTTTTTTTTTGAGACAGAGCCTCAAGCTGTCCCCCTGGGTAGAGTGCCCTGGCATTACAGCTCACAGTAACCTCAACTCCTGGGCTCAAGCGAGTCTCCTGCCTCCGCCTCCCAAGTAGCTGGGACTACAGGCG